TGACTGAAAATTTTCATTTTTTCTGGAAAGGTGGTGTCTATTTACTTGTGACCATGCTGTGTATATAGAATTTTTGATTTGATTTGTTAAATATGCCATAGTAGAAATCCATTCCTAAACTAAAAAATATTAATTTTAGGTCAATAAATTTAAAATTCAATGTATTATGTTCTTCACTTAAGAAATTATGATAAAAACATAAAAGAAAACCAAACCTAGAAGAGAGTATTTTCATATACTAATTTAAAAAAAAAAAGATTCTCTCTGTAACTGCATTAACTTTATGCTTGATATTGTCATGAAGTATTCGTTATTATACATTAAATTTATATCCAAAAATTACATTTTATGGCAACTAGAGAAAACAATTTAAGAGTTGTGCAGATGCACTACATGTCTCACACATTTTCTGCACAAGAATAGGAAGTGAGGTAGCTCATAAAGTTTTAGAACATTACTGAAAACAATCTATACACTTTATGTTATTAATAGATAGTATTAAGTTTCACACTTAAACTTGTCATGTGACATCAAAAATAGTTTGACATAATTTTTTTCTGTTATTACAGAACCTATAAAGAGTTTTATAACATTACATATTTACTTATGCTTTTCTTTAATTTTCAAAGGATAGACCTAATTTGAAATATAACTTTTAGCAAACAAACAACGATTTCTTACCTTATTTTAAATTTAAACATTATAAAAATATGTAAGATATGTTGTAAGGACAAATTAAGAACATTTTTATAATAAATTTATTAAATGTTGTACTTTGGTAGTCCTTCTTCAAACTCCTGTTTCTATAAATTTTTTCAAACTGATTGGCCACAAGGAGAAGACAATGTAACTTTCTAATAGCCTGTCATAATCACATTGCATCATGGGTATCAAACATTTTTACAAATGATAATTTTTAAGTTATTTTCAACTGTGTAACTTAGGCTACCAATGTAACATGAAAAATGACAATAGGAGTATACAATTACTGTTTGTACAGACAGCTAGTTTCTCATTTAACCACAACACTTATGTATTAAAACTAAATTTCACATTATTTAAAAAAAATAATTAAATCTCCATTTAGTTCCTTTATGTAGTTAGGACATTTTTGTTGACTGTATGTCTCAAGGTTGTAAACACGCGCTGATCGTTTTATACAGGTAAAGACTATATACTGTAACCATCATTCTAAATATTCAAAACTTGTGTATATGTATTTCTTAGAAAGCAGCCTATTTAAAAGGCAATACAGAAACCTGTACACTTGGTCCGGCTTAATATAGTATGTAGACCATAGGGTGAAGTATATAACCTGTTCACTTGTGTGATACCAGATTTGCTTTGTTTTGCAAGATCATTTAAGTCAGGTATTTTCACAGTTCTGTCTGTATCTAACATTTGATTTCTCTTGATCACAATCTCTTGTTTTCCAGCCCTCAACCACAGCAGCCAGATGAGACAGAAAGAGTATGGACAGTTTAGGTAAAAGAACATTTTATTTGGTACTAATAAAGAATTTTTGTTTCAAATTACACTTGTGCTTCCTTGCATTTTTCTTTACGGTCTGTGTTCAATTTATTTTTCATATAAAAGCCCTGAATCTTTGTTTTTTTGGAATGTTTTTGCTTTCCTTTTGGACATCAGTGAACCTGAATAACATATATTAACTCTTCTCTGATGTATTTAAAAAAATGATCATCATAAATGTGAAAAAAAAACTGTAACCTTACATCCGCAAAGTGTGTGTTTGTGTGTCATGGAATAAGTTTAAGAAATAATATAGCGAAGATAATATATTTCACATGATATTTTAAGAATATTGTTGTATCAAAAAAGTGAAAATGTAATACTTTTTATTCAAAATGAAAAAAAAGTGTTTTGTAGGCCTAAAAAATCTAATTTTATAATAGATTTTTACTAATGTTTTGAAATAAACACTAAATTAAAAAAACTGGAGTTCTTGAAAATGAACAAAAATAAGCAACAGTACCTACACTTACATAAACATGTTGTAGAAACATCATTGTGAATAGTTTAACAGTTTTTGGACTGGACAAGTATCACTCATATTCTCTGATTATATTCCTTCTTACAGCATGAATACTTAACCAAATTACATGAAACTTAGTACAAAGAAAACTTTATCTATTTTCAACTTCAAACACTTCATATAATTTCTTTTAGTATTTTGACAATCGTTTTAGGTTGTAAAATTTCCAAAATTTTATTGAGAGCCACTGTTTGAAAATAAAACAAGATACTCCACTTCATCATAATTTAAAGTTTTTTATTATTGATCAGAAATTTCCACTATATATATACATATCCAACCAGTTTAAACTCGACTGATATTCATTAAAGTATTCCTTTTGATACTTTATTTTGCTGGTTGCAGTAGTCACAAATTCTGGTCTTAAATCATAAAACATGGCAAAAAACGGAAATAAATTTATTCATAACACAGGACCTCACCTTTTAATATGCCACCACCATTACCTTCATCAGGTTCAGTACCCTGATTTTTTGCTACAATGTTTTTTACTTGAGATACATTTATATCTACTAAATATAATTTCTTTTCAATAAATAATAAGTTATTTTACTTGTGTGCTTTATTTGAATATCATAAACTTAACAATAACATTCAATAAGCAATGATCTGTGTGAGTCATCAGAATATTTTGCTCTAGCCTACCATACTTGTTAAACCAAATTAAGTTTATCTTATCATTGAAGAATATGTCTGAAGCTTTCAAACAGACACAATTTAACATGAAAACATTTTGACAAATGAAAAGGAAGGTATACATAAACTCTCAAAACAATTTTCAGATCTTTGTCTTGTCCATTAGTCTTCTAAACTTCCCAATCAATTCCTTTGTTCATCCCTACAGAAGCTACCACTAGTCAATATTTCAAGAAACTATAAATTACTGCTCACACCATTTTTATTAATTCTGCATTGATAACAGGTTTATAATCTGCTCTTTCCAACTGTATTTAAATGTTGACTAGTTATTTTCAAACTTCGGCTTCATAAATAATTAAAGGAAGTACACTGTTATGTAAAACTTAAAACTTGTTTATTGTTGGAAATACAAAGTGTAATATTTATAGTTACAACATTTCACACTTTTCAGTTGAGCTTTGTAGGTGTGCACCAGTCATGAAAGGGTAAAATTTGAAATAAATGTAAAAAATTATAAACATTTCTAATATAAGGTTTATAAACTAAAGCCTTTAAGCTGCTTTATTTCAAATACAAAATAAAATTTTTCTACAATAAATTTGTGTCCATAAATTGACCTTACTTTTTCAACGGGAAGAGCAATAGGTACTTTGTGCTCCTGGAAATAAACTGTAAGACATGGACCAACACTCTCTCGATCATTGTATTCCAGCTAAAAAGAAACAAGGAGAAATAGAATAATAAATATATATTCAGGCAATTATTAAAAAGTGATAAAAACATCCTAATCTGAAATCTTTTATGTTAACAACATATGAAAGAAAAATTAAATCACTTCATTATCAAAATAGCATTAAATTCTACATTTCAGTAGAAATAAGGTACAATAATACTTTTGAAAAGTTGTATCACTAAAGTTAACTTTAAGCAAGCCTTGAAACAGAGCTTGAATATCAAAGGCTTATTCATTTCAAGAACACAAATTAAAAATAACTTTTCTGGTGAATTTTACTCTCATATGACTACAATACAGCAACCAGTTTCTGATTCTTAGTTAAACTAAAAGACAAAACTCAGGATACATGCAAGTACATGATTAATAAACATAGCTGTTCAAAAATTATAATTCAGCAACAGACAAAACACATCAACATTCAAATTGCAAATAATCTCTTATTTTTGTTTAATAAGTTAACAGTAAAAGCATGAACATTTTGATAAAACATAATATTTTAGTAAATTATTTCTTATAAGAACCAAATTTATTTTCATAGTTTGCCAATATTGTTTTACTGAACAAAAACTAAATATCTTACTTTCTGAGGTTCTACCATCATCTTTCGATTTCCCCCTCCAAACTTCCCTAAAACCCGGAAAGCCACTTGTGCTACATTATCTGCAGGGTTACGAAGAGTGCGCCACAAAGCTTGCATGAGTTCAGCTCTAACAGGCTGGATATGATCATAAAGAAAGTCTGGCTGAAGATTATCCACACATAATTCCAATGTACGAAGTCCCTGTGTTTTAAAAATAACAGAGCTAATCTTTCTTATTCTAACTGGGTTCTTTACTTTGTCAACAATTTGCAATTTTGTATTAAAAAGGGGTTTCAAATTGCTTTCTATATCTTTAATAAAAGAATAAGCACAAAGGATCATTAAAAGTTAGCATTTTCCTCCATTGAAAATGTATTTCCGATAGATCCTTATCTCCTCTCACAAAAAAGCTTTTCTCAACTAGCACTGCCCTCTATTGGCACAAATTCTCAAGGCATGCCACTAGCCTTCCACCTCCTGTTTTTGCATATCCACATGCAAATAATCATGCAGCAGCTTTCTGCCAATAGGAGCATGACACTACTCCTGTTATAACCAGCACCCTTTTCACATCTGCACTCAATCACTTCAAGATTGGACAGAAGACCTACACCATATACCATCGAAACTAGGGAAGCTGGGTGGGAGGTGTCTATTGGAAATACATTTTCAGTGTAGTAAAATGCTAACTTCCGATACAATATCTTACCTTTCCTCACAAAATAGCTAGAATTCCACACTGAACTGGTGGAGGGCCGATAAAAAATATGATCTCCCTTTAGAAAGCCTCCAAAGAGAGACCCATGAAGGTGTGGAATCAAAAGAGAAAACATCACACCTCAGCGGGAGACCACACCACATCTGAAACAGGTATACTTTTCACTGTTTTATGACAGTGTCGTGAACATTAAAAGGCAGAAACATGAAGGAATCCCAGTATATGTATGACCGATGTATAAGACTCCTGGGTGTGAGTGGCTAGGGCACAACAGACTGTCGTGGAAGTTCAACCTCAACGAACACAAGGCAGTAGTTGGAATGGAACATCATATCCATGGTAGGTAGAGGAACAACTACCTCTTCACCTCAAAACTTGACACCACACCACTTGTACACATTTCCAACCCAACCAACACCAGACCTGCCAAGAACTGACATCCAGCAAATGGTAGGAAAGTGGAAAGCCCTGGCAGAATGGCATCTATGGTCCAAAACCTGACAGCAACGGGTATAGTTCTTCCAGTCCGCAGTAGGAGGAGGATATCCAGCCATACAGAAGCGGGAAATCATGTGCTGCGTCCAACTATACAACCAACACCAAATCTGCCAGGAGCTGACATCCAGCCGACAGCAGAAAATGGAACTGCAAATTTGGGGGTGTATCTCCAGTCCAGAAACCTGGTGGCAGTGGGAATTTGTCATCCAGTCCACGATAGGAAGAGAGAAACTGGCCAGCACACATGTGAGGACATACTGAGCTGGATCATCTCCAACCAACACTGGACCCACTGGGAAGGTACATCCGGATGATGGTAGGGAGGAGGAATGTTTCAGACTGAGGGGCAAATATATATATATATATATTTAAAATGTGGCAGAGTGCTTCAACCAAAACCTGGCAGCATCTGGAATTGATCGTCAGTTCTGCAGTAGGAAAGGCATCACACCACAGAAAAAAATTAGTCAGATATATAAACAGAAATATGACACAGTGCAAAAAACAAAACCAGGCGGCATCTGGAATTGTACATCAAGTCCACAGTAGAAAGAGCTCAATGCCACAGAGCTGCAGATATGGGCAGCAATCTCTGTCTGCTTTACTCATGTTAGTCCATGAGTGTACGGTCTGGGACAAACATATTTATGAAGCAAAATACCACCAGAGAGAACTACCAGTAGTCCTATGGAATACTCCATCTCCACGACAGAATTATTCAGTTATAGATTGTCATGATATAAAACACTGTTTAGATATTATTGATTAATTTATTTTGTGAGTGAATATTTTATTACTGTTTATTTTTGTTACAATAAGAGTTAAAAGCAGATGACTGCAGAAAGTTATGTTTATAATTCATTGATGTTGAGACTATTACACATTGATGTAAAGAATATAGAGATTTCTAGAAGGCCAGATGATTAAGTGATAAAGATATAAACAGTGTGAGACAAGCAGAAACAGCAGACAGACAATAGCAGAAGAGAGTAAAGTTACAGCCAAAGAAAAGTTTGGCATGAAGTTAACTACTGTAGAAGTGATAGGCCTAATAATTAACATAAGCCTCAGGTTTAATATGTTGGAGAAAGACTAACAGTAGAAAAGGAGAGAGAAAGAATAATTATTCCATCAAAGCATGGTTCTAAAGTAATTGAATCAGCCTGAGTACACTTTGACAAAAGGAACAGAGGATATTTAGAAGAAAGAAGACCAAATGATTATGGTAACTTGCACCACAATTGTAAGTGAATCACACACAGAATATTAGTGTGATAGTAACAGAGAAGATAGTTCGGCTTGTCAACTGAAATTCTAAAGCAAATGAATACGCCTAAGTGGACTTTTGACAAGAAGAGAACTATATATGTAGATAACAAAAAATACGGAGACACACAGCCAACACCTGGCAGCATCTGGAATTGTACATCAGGTCCGCGGTAGGAAGGACTACAACGTAATTGACAACTAGCATGGTTGCAGGATGGACAGTGCATTTTTAGAAAAAGAACAAGTATACCTGGTCAGGAACCACTTGCCACACAGTGGAATCCACAATACAAAAGGAAAAGGCCCCTAAAAGTGAGAAAAATTTGGAAAGAAAAAGCAACCTGGCACAATACCAAAACCTGAAAATAGAAATAAATAGTAAAGAAAAATGAAGTCAGTAGTATAACTGAAAACACTGACAAATTCTGAAACAAAAAACTAGCACGTCTGTACAGTACTACTGCCAATCGAGAAGTTATTAACGAGTGCAAATGTGCAGAGGGTGCTGGTTATGACAGGAGTGGAGTCGTGCTCCTATTAGTGGAGAGCTGCTACATGAACATTTGCATGTGGATATGCAGGTGTGGGAGGTAGGTTAGTGGCATGCATTGAACATTTGTACAGACAGAGGGCAGTGCTAGTCCAGAAGAACTATTTTGTAAGTGGAGGTAAGATATTGAATGAAAAATGTATATTTCAAAAGTTACAGAAGCTTGAGTGTAGAAGAACAATCAACTATTCAAAAGTGATCAAGCTTCTGAGTCTTGTGAAATCTATTTAACATTCTAAATATTTAAGTGTCTAAAATAAAAAACACATTAGCTAATGAAGCAACATTAAAATAAAGAGACATTTTATTTAATGATATATTTATGGTTAAAGTTTACTCCAGTTTAAACTATGATTTATTCCTTTTGAGCATAATCCTGCTTATGGCAAAAGAGGTAGAGTATAGCTTTTTTCAGAAATATAATTTTTCATTATAAAGGCTATTCCACCATCAAGTAAACAGCTTTAACTTCATAAAATCTTACCTGACTGACAAGAGTCTGAGAGCCATTTAGAGCAGAAACCAAGGGATCCATAAGCATAGGCAAATAAGGTAAAAGAGAACTTAGCCTGACTGGAACTGTTAAGCAAAGCTCCACAAACAGATCTTTCATGTGTTGTTTATGCAGCCCACTTTGTAAACTATTGAGTCCTAGATCACAGATTTAAAGTGAAAAAAATCCCAAGAAAAAACAATTAATAAGTACTTTATGAATCACAGGTAAATCATTCACAAATAACATGAGCTCACTCTTAATTTGAGATCGTTGATATGCTACAAAGAGATCATTCAAAAATTAACAACCTCAACATGCACAAAAGTAAACAGTTCAACTGAAATTGCACATTCCCATAAAGAGAAATTTCAAAACAAATAATGGTTTAAAAAGCATTTTATAGTAAATATAAAAGCAATAAATTCAGTAAGTTTGGAATGGAGGACTGACAAGATCAATGACTAAAAGTTAGTATCAGAGTTAATGTTAAATTAGTATTCACAAACAGATTAAGTGTAATTGAAAAAGTCAATCACTGTATTCTCTGAAACCCCTTGAGCTGGTTAAGTCATGAAAACATTTCTTGCTATTTCCAATGTTAAACAACATTCTTTGTATATCTGCATGATATTTAATTATTATTTCTATTCATTACTACAGCTTAAATGTTGCATTTTGTCAATACTTAGTATTTTTTTTTATAGTTTAGCCTTTATATGATTATATTCTTACTTAGCCTGAATACTAATCCTGCTCTAGAAAGCTGGCCCAGAAAAATTCACCAATTTAAACCACACAACAAGCACAGTCATCCACTAGATGTCTATGCCATACACTAAGAGTTAGTATACATCACATTCTCATACTCCTCAGCAAATAACTTCAGACTTTTTAGTTGTTTAACACAAAGTTACACAAAAGGCTATCTGTGCTTTGTCCACCTTGGGTATTAGAACCCAATTTTTTAACAGTATAAGCCTTTAGACTCACTGCTGAACAAGTATTAAAAAAGTACTTAAGTGTAATAGAAATTAAAATATAGTTGATAAATAGAAAAATAACCTTAAGACTTAAAGAGAAAAGTGAAGCCATCACAAGAAATAGTTATTTTAACTTGTCACATGATGTAAAGTAGTTATTACACATATAAATTCATCACAAAAGGGTGTAACTTAATCATCAACAAGTAGCTGCTAAAAGCAGGCATTATGCACAGGTAGGCATAAATCTACTTTAAAAGCCCATTTTGAGCATGTTATAATCTAGACATACAACATAAAACATTGCTTAATGCATCAAAAATTCCACTATGTCATTGAAAAGTGTGTTCCAATTTATTTATTAAGTTCTTATTACTAACAATTATTACAGGAGCAAAAAAAGAAATTATATGTGTATTGATGAGTGTGTGTGTGTTTTCTTATATCAAAGCCACATCAGGCTATGTACTGCTTCCACTGAGTGGATTCAAACCCCTGATTTTAGTATTGCAAATCCGAAGACTTACTGCTGTCCCACTGGGAGACACGTATATTGATATTACACAAAGTAATGCAAGATTGCAAGAACAACCACAGAGGTAATAAATTACCCTGTATTCTTTGCTAAATAGGTATAAAATAAATGTAAACAAGAGTGAATATCAATTATAGCTTGATGTTAAGGGCTTCATGAGGCAAATGTAATTACAACATTCTATGTTTATATAGCCTGTATGAAGAAACAGCAGATGGCATCTGTGTTATTATAAGCTGTATAGCAACAGAGTTCACAGTTTAAATTTTTTTTATTCACATTTACTGCAGGTGTTATTTATGTCAAGAAAAATTCCTTATGATGTCCTAATCTTTTTCGTATCTGTAACATGGAAAAACTTTAAAATTCTGACACCTCACAAACACAGCAATTAACTTTATGTATACGGGCTTGGTCATTTTGACCAAAATTGTAACAGCTGCATAACCATGAAACTATACATAACATGGCTCTGATTTTACTAAGTGTATCTTCACAAAATATGGCAAGCATTTACTAAACATTATAAATGGTTTGTACATAAAAAATTGATTTTTTAAATAAAGTATTTTTAATAAAGTTACATCTGAGAACTTATGAAGCCTTTACTGAGTCAGTCTGATTACAAGATGATTTTCATGTTAAGAATAAAAACACCTTTATGTGTCTTATAACCTCTAGTAACACCATGAATATCAAGTTTTTTCAGTAAAACTTTATATTTCATTTGTTATTTAGGTCTCATCATTGTTATTTTCTCTACCCTAATACTGTATGTGGGCTTGGTTCATCTGACTGACCTTGTAACCATGTAAAACAAAAAAATACAAAATAAATCTAAATTATCTTTTACTTTCTAGAATGACTGCACATTATAAGACAATTACACATACACACTTTCAAATCTACTGGTCATTTACATTTATTGCTTTAAATTTGCAGTAACAAGAAAAGGCAACTTATCACATAAGGATAGCTTTGTAAACAAAGAAATGAGTTAACAATAAGGCTCGTCAAGTTACAATTATGTTGCACTCTCAATGTGCATATACTATCACAAATACGTTTCATTCAATTTTTTTTTTATTTTTTTTTACATTTGAGATTTTTTATCTAACCTAACAAGTTTCCAGCTTTTACACTTGCACCCAGTGACCAAAATACCAATGATCAAATCAATTTATAATAACTAATTAATCCTGAGAACTTTTTTCCATAAATATGACCACTCAAAGCAAAAGTTGTAGAAATGTCTGAAACTATTGTAAGGTTGGGTACTGAAAAAATGACATTAAATTTAGTATTCAACACAAATAGGTATTTTTTAACCATTTAGATGTGCCCGTCACTGTATGGCAACCACATAATATGGTTTGAATTTTCTGCTATAAATGCAAATGAAGTGCACAAAATCAACAGTCAAAGACTAACAAGCACAGATGATGAACTCAGCCGCCCATTCATATGGTGTGATGTATGTTAATATTAAAAGAAATCAGTAATGTTTACAAATGAAAACTGTTAAATTTTATTTTATGAGAAAATGGACCAAAATGGCATCAAATCACTCCAATGTTTCAACATTTGAAGAGACAAATGAACTTGTGCAAGCTGGTGATCATTCTGGCTTTGAACCTGAATTATCTGGTGATGATTTTGATCATGATATGACTGATACTGATGTGGATGGTTAAAGTAGTAATGCTGAAGCTGGGCCCATGGGGGCAAGTGGTGATGGTGAGATGGACAGTGACTACAAGGTTCCCATGTCTAAAAGAGCCAAATTTTAAGGGAGATCTCATGGAAATGGTACAGGACATAATAATGATATACTTGTTGCTAATGCTAGTACAGGTCGATGTACGACTACACATACACATCCTCCCAGAGCCAGACCGAGGGTTAAGGCCTGGTAGGATACAACAACTTGCACGTGGGAGTGGTTGTCTTATTCATGGCAATCAAGCTAGACATGGACTTGGTGGTGCAAATAATGATGAATAGAGGTTTGGGTGATGAACATTTTCAACCGTGGATTTCCAACTCTAATGATAGAAATATGAGATACAGGGGCAACCAGAATCTAAATTATTCAGACCCTATCAATTTCTTGCAATTCTCCTGGATAATAATATGTTTGTTAGGGATAGATCTGAATTGATCTTGGGCCTCCCGCACTTTATAAACAATAATGATGAAGTTGCCAGAGGTACTTGTCAAGACGGGTTGTTCAAGGACATCCACTGATTGAAATGATAATTCCCAATTTCACACAACCATTTGGTCCAAAAAAGGAACTGGAATTGAATGAAATGACAATCGAATTCAAAGGGTAAAGTGTTTTGAAACAGTACAACCCTAAGAAACCGAATAAATGAGTCAAAAAGTGAATACATTCTTAAATGGTCACTCTATGCGGGTAAAAATGAAAATGTTACAAATGAGGATGATGTATTATTCATCTATAGGCTTATTCAAAATATGATGGCACCATTCAAAAAACAGTGACACTGGATTTCACAAAATCAACAAACCTGCTTGTGTTGACATTTACAACTGTCATATAGGGGTTGTTGACATTGCTTACCAGCACATCAAAACTTACCCATTTCCTCATCAGTCTCAAACATGATACTCAAGGATCATATATGCCCTTTTGAGCATAGTTGAGGTGAATTTTCACATAGTGTATACACATGTGAAAAATGCTGGTGCAATGTCACTAAAAACTACTCCTCGAAAATTTGAGTGGCAATGTTCTATGTCTATGCTATTAGGGCAGTTAGAATGGATTGCTTCATCACTGGTGAAGTTCCAAATGACTGACAGAGCATCACTGGCTTGAGCCAACTGGAAATTCTCATCCAGACTGTGAAATTTGTAGTGATTGTTCTTTTGCAAATGGATGATGCCGTACCTGGTACAAGTGTTGCTCAAACCCCTTATCCTTGCTTTGACAGATACCATACCCAGAAACAGTAAAAGAGGTTAGAGTGGCTGCCCGCAAATACTACAAACATAATATCTATCTTGTATCTAACATTTGTGAAATTCTTCTCAGTTTTGGTTTGACATTGGTTGAAATAATTGAATTTGCAGGTACAATTCGTCAAAAATGTAAAGCTTTCTTGCACATTTAATTCAGACCTCATAATACATATTATTTCTGTTAGTGTACATTTGCCAGACAATAAAATAATTGTACATTCACCTAAACTATCCAAACATCTTCACTCTTGTTTAGTAATTGTTTTATTATTTTATTATCTGTATTCACAAACTACTTCCAAATAACTGGCCTTAAGATCACATAATTTGTCTATTTAGTGAGGTTCTAAACAATAAATAAAACACAGCAAAAGGTAAATAATAACTATTGAACTGTTGCTTTATGAAAGTAAGTGATTTATTTGTGTCAAATCAGAAGAAAAAAGAATAAACTACAAATTTCTCGAATATGGTGGCCATACTGGAAGTGTGACATCATCAGATATACAAATTAGGTAAAATTATTTGCATAATTTTAATCTTCAGATTGTATTGAACAATTGTTTCCATATGTGTCTTGGGCTATATCAAATAGTTTTAGAGGTATACTTGATCTAATCAGACATGTATATAAACCTCAATATACTAAGAA